GGAGCAGTTGCAGCATTGTGCCCTGGCAGACACAGACCTTGACAGGATGGTTGGGAGATGAAGAGAGACCTGGCTGTCAGCGACACCACTCTTTGCTTTTTCTCCCTAGGGAATACCATCACTATGCCAACTGCCTCAGGGGCCAAAAAGCGTTTCTGGATCATTGAGGACATGTCCCCGTTTGGCAAGCGCCGCAAGACTGCGTCCTCCCGCAAGATGCTGGACGAAGGGATGATGCTGGAGGGATTTCGGCGCTATGACCTCTACGAGGACTGCAAGGACTCCAGCTGCCAATTCTCTCTCAAGGTTACGCACTACCACTGCACGCGGGAGAATTGTGGCTACAAGTTCTGTGGCCGTACCCACATGTACAAGCACGCCCAGCATCACGATCGTGTTGACAACCTGGTATTGGATGATTTCAAACGCTTCAAGTCTTCACTGAGTTGCAACTTCCCAGACTGTCAGTTCTCTGGCAATAGCACACACTTCCACTGTCTGCGCTGTGGCTTCCGCTGCACTGACAGCACTAAGGTGACAGCCCACCGTAAGCACCACGGCAAGCAGGACGTCATCAGTGCTGCTGGCTTCTGCCAGTTCAGCTCCAGTGTGGACTGCGAGGTGCCTGACTGCAAGTACAAACTCAAGTGCTCCCACTTCCACTGCACCTACCCTGGCTGCAAACACACGGTGGTGGGCATGTCACAGATGGACTCGCACAAGCGCAAACATGAGAAGCAGGAGCGAGGGGAGCTTCCTGCCATCTCTCCTGGCCCCGAGGGCCTTGCCCACTCCACTCTTGAGTATGACATCCAGAACTCTTCCATCAACCTGGACAGCTCCCTCAACCTCAGCACTGACAACAACAGCTCCCTCTTCTTCCTGCAGAACGCAGCTGGTGTGGGCCTCAATGATTCCCTGGACCTCAGCAAGAAGCAGTCAGAAGTCACTGAAGGTCCATCACCGAGCAGAGCCGGGACTGCACCTCAGGAGAGGGGGGCAGTGGCATCTGGCTCCGGTGATGTGGAGGACGAGGATGACTCTTCCCAAGAGGATGAAGAGGATGATGAGGAAGAAATGAATGAAGAAGAGGAGGATGATGAAGAGGAGGACGACGATGATGATGATGAAGAGGATGATGAAGAGGAAGACCTGAACACAGATTCTGAGGAATCGCTGCCTGACCCTGAGGGCCTGGCCACTAAAGAAGATGGAGAACCAGAGGAGGCTGCTTCTTCCACAGATCAGGGCGATGCTTCCATGCCACAGGGCGAGCAAGCCCTTACTCCAGCCCCAACTCCTGCTCCAGCTGCAGCTCCAGCTGCTGCCCCAGCCTCTACTGTCGCTCCAGCAGCTTCTCCTTAATCTTAGAGACAACGGCAGCAGTGGTTTGGTTTTGCTCTTACACAAAATTACTAAGAGGACCCCCTATGAGGCAAGAACAAAGATTGGGATGGAAAGTGGAAAACAAACTCCGTGCCACACACACGAGAGAGAGAGGAAGGAAGGAAACCCACGCTCCTCCTCAGGCCCCGTAAGAGACAGGTTGGCAGCAGGACTGGTGCTGCATCCCTTCATTCTGCAATCACAGAACATGGGGGCAGGAAGCAGCATGAAACACCCTTTTATATGGACATGAACCTTGAGGGTACCAGCTGCTTTTCCTTGCTCCCTGCATGGTGCGTGGGGCCTGTGCCCATCTGGGGACCCTTTGTTATGGGTGGGGCTCTATCCCCCCATGTTTCTTTCCGGGTTTTGTTTTTCCATGTTTTCAGTTGTACGATATTAATAATAATCTCCACTTCTTGGAGGGGGGTGGGTGGGAACAACAGGTAATGAATTTTAGAACTATATATTTGTGTGTGTGTCTCTCTATATAATGTACACACACACACACATATATAACACGCAAGGAATTGGTGTCACAAGGACAAGTAGCTCAGCTTTGCGGGTGGGAAGGAGGGGTGAGGGGTGTTTGCTCTCTCTCTCTCTCCACCCCTCCCCCCTTCTTTCTCCAGCATTAAATGAATGGCATCAGGCAGCAAGGGTGGGAGTGGGTATTTATTGTCACATAAATGAGGACGCATTAATGAATGAGCAGGGGTGGGAATGGGACACTCCTCTGTTCTTCCAGATCCTTTTTACTATTAATGATAATAATTTTGAATGCTATTTATATTGTAAAACTTTTCTCAGTCTACACTTACTTTCTCTGTAGGACACCTCTCCTCATCCCTGCTGTTCTGCCTGTAGGGAATTTAGCTGAAGTAACTTGGGAAGAGCACAGCAGGCAGTTAAAGGGTCTGTCACACTGGAGGACTGGGGTTAATCTCCCATCCAGTTCCATCTCATCCCAACTCCCAGGTGCTTCCTCTCTATTGAGGGTGAGGCGTTTTTGTGGTGCTTCAGTATCCCCATCTCAGGAGGCTGTGAGCTGACACTGTCCCGCGGTGCAGCACAGGGAGCACCGTGCTCACAGAAGAGCATCCTAAGCCGTTAAAGCAGCCTTCAAAAGTACTTGCTGTCTGACCAGGCAGTTGTGCAGTGGCAGGTATGTCCCTGGTCCCCAAGCCCTCGTCCCCAGCCTTTCACCGTGGATGGGCAAGCCTGTCATCTGTGTGCATGGACTCAATGTTCTGCTGACTCTGGGAGAGGGTGAAGGCACTGCTGAAGAGGGAGGCAAAGGCAGCACACATTCAGGACCCCACTGTGGGATGTCCTGCTCAGGCTTGGGGGGGCGGGGGTGTGTCTCTTTTGCTCAGCACTGGGTGGGAGGAGGGACACTGCTGGTCTATAGCTATTGGCCCCATCATGGTTTTTGCAGCTACAAAACATGAGGCTGCTGCAACCCATGCAGCACCGAGAACTGAAGATGGGGGAGAGGCTAGCTGAGGGCAGGTGTAATCCAGCTAAGAATTAAAGTATTTCTGGTGCCATGCTGATAAATTCTGACAAGTAGGGCCAATAGCTTGGGCACTGCATAAGCAAATGCAACTGTACTGTGTTGAAACCTGCCACATCCAGCGGCTTGGGCTTCCCCTGGTGACGAGCTCTTCCCTGCTCTCTTTCCCCAGCCCAGGCTGGGAACACACACTACAGGATGCTGCCTGGACTCTGGCAGGTGAGACAGCAGCTGTTTGACTTGAGTCTGAGAGAGGGCTTGTGTCTCCATCCACCTGGGCTCCAGAAGGACTAGCTGTATGAATTAACTGCTAGTTATTTCAGTGCCAGTTTGTAAGTATTCCAGCCTAGCAGAAGGTTCCTGGTGTCTGAAGTTTGTCCCTTTTTTACATAAAATACCTACTTTTCTAACACCATGCAGGCCACCCCCAGCTCCAAGGGATCCTGTTTCCCCCCGTGAACAGAAAAAGGCCTCAAGAAGTTTAGGTTGGGGTTTTTTCCTCCCTTTAATTCTTTCCCTAAGGACGTGGTGCAGCTCAGGCCTGGCTCTAAGGCAGCAGCTCGGCTGTGTCAGTGTGGGGACAGAATGTGCAGAGAATGTTGCAAAAGGCAAAAAACCTGATAAAAACCAGCAGTTGTACAGTATTTTTCCTGTAAAGGTTATTGCTAGAGATAGAACAAAGGAGAAGCCACCGACGCCAGGGGCTGGGGCTCACCTGCCCTCTGCCCAGCCCTTAGATACGGTTTATTGTGTGCAATTCATTTTTTCTCTTTTTTTTTTTTCCTTTTTTTAATTTTTACTTTTTTTTCCTTTGTTTTTCCCTTCGATGTAGGGTTTGTTGGGGGGGGGCAGGGGAGGGGGGGCCTCAATGCTATGGGTTGAGGCTGACTTCACCCTCCCAGCACTGAGCGGAGCTGCACGATTCCGACTTCTAACTTGAATTTTGTAGAGATGAAACCAATGGAAACAAATGAACTATTGTTATTGGTAGGTTGTAGTTTATTTAATTCTTTTGGAGTTCTTTTCCGCTGTCAGCTATTTGTGTGGCTTTTGTTTTCATAGGGGTTTTTTGTTTGTTTGGTTTTGTTTTGTTTGGTATATCCCCTGCCCTCAGCTCTGTGTTTTCTAGCACAACCTGATTCTTGACTAGGATGAAGCTCATGTTCCTGGGGCAGAGCGAGGGAACGAGGCCCTGGAATTTCTGCAGGGGATGGGGCAAAACGATTTTACTTTAACAGCATTTGCTGCAGGTTCTGTACATCTTCCCCATAGTCAGTACTTCGATAGCATGGCGATGGGCTCCAGGAGGAATCCCTTGGATGTAACACAAGCCACATCTTGGAAACCAGATGTGTTTATTCTGTACCACTGAAGTCATCGTGCGTATCAGTGACTTCTGTGGAAGGCAGGATCGAGCCGACTGCCTTGGAGACAGCATCCTGCCAGGTTTGCACAAAACCTGCCTGGGAGGTGCTAACGCTGAAGGCGAGGGGGAGGTTTCAGTGGCGAGGCTCAGGGCTCCCTGGGCCACTGGTATCCCTTCAGGAGAGCCGGGCTGCTTCCTGGCTGGTAGGAGCAGTTTTACCTCTCCCCTTTCGTACCTCACCAGACTCCACTGACTCGCTGCACAACAGTGGGAGAGAGCAGAGGTGTGTGGAGAAAAGGGGTAACAGACCTACCGGTAGCTCTGCCCGCTCCGGCTGGCGCTGGACATTCCTTCCATCATCCCGGTGCAGCTCACCATGATCCACGCTGACGGGGCCCTGTTTCACAAGCCCTTCTGTGTGGCTCAGCGTGCCAGAAGGGCCTTGTGTTGATCTATGCACACCATTTTCTCCCCCGAGGCATCCTACTTCTTGACATCTCAGCCCTTCTCCCAAACTTCTATCATCAGTCACCTCCAGGAGCCGGCACAGGGAATGACATTTCTTTCCCAACAGGCTACTGCTAAATGCAACCCCGGTGCAGGACCTGGCCCCTCACAGGACAGTGGCCACCCAGCAGGTTGGCCATACCCCCAGAACACATCTTACTCCACCTTCTCCAAGTCTTGTTTGTGTAAATCTCTTCCTATGTCTCTGTTCACAACAACAACAAGTCAAGAAAGTTAAACCCAGCTGTTTATTCTGCCATGTGAAGGCTTTAATTTCGGCAAAACTCTTAAGCAGATGCTGGCTGAAGGGCGCAGGTTTAAGCCCAGGCTTAAGTGCTTTTCTGAACAGAGGCCTCAACAGCACAAAGAGCCCTGTTGCAGCGAGGTGGGTTCGCACTTCGAGCGATCATATCAATAGGACTGTTAATACAATGCTATTGTGCTTAAAGAATGACCAGGGAAAGAGAGGGCGAGACAACAGCCTATGAGGAGGGGGAAGAGGAGGGAGGAAATGGAACTGTTCTGTCCAAACCAAGATAAAACCCAACCAAAAGCAAACCTTGAGAAGGACCCTCCTGAGTCTGCTCCCATTCACTGCTGAAGAGCAAACAAAACCATGAAATCAAAAACTATTGACTAGATTGTTCATTCTAGCCACAAACTCAACTGGATTCAAGTCTGTGTGGAAGGAATTTTGTAAAGAAAAAAAAATAAAAAAAATTAAAAAAAAATAAAAAGTTTTCCAATGTAGCAAAAAAATAACTTTAAAAAAACAAAAATGACAAAAAAAAAGACAAAGAGGGAGGATTCTAGCCTTTTGTAATCTCCATATTGCACACTAGGACTATAAGCCATTGCTAGCTCATTTTGAATTTTAAATGTGTAATTTTTTTGGGTCTTTTTTTTTTTTGTTTTGTTGTTGTTTTATTATTTTTTTTTTTCTTTCCGTGGGGGAGGGGGGGAAATAAATGCTTGAACCACCAATGCTCTTTTTAATGTTTTATAAATATGTATGTGTATATATATAAATATAAAAATAATATGTATGCACATATATATGTGTGTGTGTATATATCTATATGTATATACATATATATAGATATATAGATATATATATAGGTTTTGAGACAAAAAAATGCAGAAAGTGAAAAAAAAAAAACAACACCCTAACCAGGATGGTGTGCTCTGATTTACTTGAATCTGGTCTCTTCAGCACCTGCGTTATTAAGAACTGAATATTTTTCCACTTGAATTTAGTGCTATTAGAAATTTAATATATGTGTTTTATTTATTTGATTTTTTTTTTTTGCATGACTGATGCAAGGTTTGACATTTTCACTCAATAAAAACTGGAAAAAAAACCCCAATGTTTTAAGCGATCAAGTTGTCTTCTTCATTGAGGGGGTGGTGTATTTGTCTAAGAGCTAACAAGTCTTGGAGCAGTTTGGGTCTTTTAAAGGCTAGTCAGGGCCCTGCACCCATCAGAACAGCCCCTGGTTCGGCACTAGTGCTAAGTGCAATGGGAACCAAGTGCTCTCCATACAGACTCTGGCCTCAAGCTTTCTAAGCAGCCCTATAGTTTTACTTGAAGTGCTCACTGGGGCCCCTGGTAAACCTGATGCTTCTCCACGATGTGCTAAACTGGGACCTAGAATCAGAGATTGACTTTTCCCTTCCTACCTTGGCCTGCAAGCTCCGGGTGGTGATGGGGATCCATGGTGGAACTGTGCTTGCTGTTCCTGCCACTTGAAACCTTACAGTGACATTCAAAGCCCACTAAATCACTTTCAGTATCACCCTAACAAAAGAGAGATGAGGAGCATGAATGAAACAGCCTGTCTGCATAGAAGGGGTGGGGCTAATAAATCTACTAATCTCCACTAAAATGCAACGTGAAGCTCTGTGCTTTGACAGAACTTAGCAAGAACATGTTAAGCTGCATGCCACGCATCAACGAGCTGAAGGAAAGCATTCCTTACCTGGCCACTCCATTCCTTTTTCCTGCTGCAGAAACTTGCATACACTGTGCACGTGCAAAGTACAGTGACTGCCATCTGGGATGACTGTTGTTCAGCAAGAGGGTGTCCTGACAGCCACAGTGGGACAATACTGCTTGGTACCACTGACTGTAAAGGAACAACAGATTAGATAAAACCGCTGCGCGCTCGATGCAGCTTGTCCCCAACATCCCAGCCAAGACTCTTCCCAGACCTGGGCACTTCCACACTGGAGGTGCATTAGAACAGGCTTTTATCACCAGATCCCTGCTCTGAACGAGGCAGTAGATCCACCTTAGCCTCAGGACTTGGGGCTGTTGGGAAGAACATTTTGTGTGCTCTAAAGCAATTGCCCTCACAGTACCTGCCAGGTACCAACACGTTCCCAAGTACTCACCCCTCGGAAGAAGATGTTGCCAGCACATATCCCAGTGGTCTCTTTGGGAACCTGTCCCCTTACCAAGACATAACCGCACAAGAGCTGCCCTGTGTTGCCCCCCATGCCCTCCACCCTGCCCAAAGTTGTTCTTCCACTGGTGAGGTACAAACACTGTGAACAACACCCATGTGCAGCCGCAGACCCGCACACATCCAGCTGCCTTCCCAATAAGGCCGGGCTTGAGTGCCATGGAACTGCAACTGGTGCTGCACCAGCAGCAGGTGTCTGATGGCTGCATCCAACCCCTCTCACGGCCTCTGCGGTGCCAAATGAACAGCTCCTGGCATGAAACACAGCTCTGCTGCCTGTCCTGCCAAAGTGCTGTTGGGGATGGGGAAAGAGCAATGTCAAAGGTCCTGTGTTACCCAAAGAAAGCAAGGACAACCCCTCCCGTGTGGCTCTTCCCCTCCTAGCTCAAAGCAGCTGCGTCTTTGCACCTGCCACCCGTCAGAGCACCCAGGAGCAGCAGAGCAGTGCTTGACAAGCCTGATGCATTGGCAGCAGCTGCCTTCTTATTAGCAGAGAGGATTAGACTCCTCTCTTTCAAAGCCCCCTCGTTGCTCCGCTGCAGCTCCCAGCCATCCTGTTTTCAGATGCCATTATCCGAACATGCTCCTAATCCAACCTTGGAGCACAGAGGTTTGTCCTCACTGGAGCTCTGCCCGCAGCACGTGGGGTATTTACATGACTGTGTTTCCTGGGGGGGGGGGGGGACACAACAGGGGACCCAAACAACACAACTCACTGCTGGAAAGCTCTTGCAGGAACCTGCCTGCTCTGTGCAGAACTCTGGCTGCACTTCATGAAAGAATGACTAAGTCATGGGAGAAGCTGCAAGCTGAACAAATCGAAGGCTCACCACTGCATCTGCAGCTCTGCATCCAGCTGCTGCAGCTGGTGAGCCATGGAAGGCAGCAGACACACAGCGAGGCTGCTGCTTGTAACGTCAGGACAAAAACTGGGCATTGCTGCTGGTAATATTCTTTGATTACACCAAATGTACCCCTGGAACAGCATCTTTTGTGAGTGCAGAACCCTACAGTTACACACAGCCACAAAACTACACTGCCCCTTGTACATAAGAGCAGATGATAGCTACTTTTCAGCACTCTACCCGGTTGTCTGCAGCACACACCACCACAGCAGAACTACCCCTTGGCACCACCTCAAACAAAGAGCACTGCCTTCCCCTCTCCAAGCAATTCCAGACTTTAAACCAACAGAGGCAGCAAAAGTTCAACCGCCTCAAACATAAACATGCAGCGCTCAAGGTGTTCCAGGGGACAGAACGGGAGACCAGATGGTTCTGCTGCTGCTTCCAGTCAGCCTGGTTTTTAGATGGCATTAACCAACATGCTTTAGGGCAGCCTTAGCACATGGAGACCTGTCCTTGCCGGGGTTGTAACAGCCAATGAGGACAGAAATGAAGACGGCAGATTATCAGTGTTGGCTGAGAATGAAGGTAATAGCCATCACAATGGCTCGGAAAGACGATCGTGGCTATTCATCCCAGTGCGTCTCACAGACAGCCTAGCAAGGGTATTTTTAGCAATAACTAGGAAAATGATACTTTGAGTTACACCTCTCCTTATGTCCTAGACCTGCAAGGAACAGTTTTTATACTGTGGAAGGCATTCATTTAATTTGCAGGAATCTTTCTTACCAGCTCCAACCTTCATTCCCCTTTAGTGAAGCCCATCTCCCAGGGAGCTGCATGCAGAGCAGTTGGTCTGGGGCAGCCAGCGATCACACTGAGCCACCCCCTCAGGTGTGCAGAGCTGGAGCCCATGCCCAGCCAAATCCTCCTCGCAGCTTGCTCAGCTGAGTACAGAGTGCAGTAAAGCATGTCTGACTCTGGAGGATATTTACTCCGGCAGCACAACGCCTCCTACACCAAAGCAGAAGGAAATTCAGAGTTCTGCTGCTTACTGGTACAGAGGAAAAGCAGCTCTTGTGACACACAACATGTACTGGGCATAACTTGCAGCTTGCAAGGACCAGTGCTCAACACTGGCTTTCTAAGGCTAAATAACATTGAGGCCTAGACTTAGAATCATAGAATCATAGAATAGTTAGGGTTGGAAAGAACCTTAAGATCATCCAGTTCCAACCCCCTGCATGGGCAGGGACACCTCACACTAAACCATGGCACCCAAGGCCTCGTCCAACCTGGTCTTGAACACTGCCAGGGATGGCGCATTCATAACCTCCCTGGGCAACCCATTCCAGTGCCTCACCACCCTAAAAGGAAAGAATTTCCTCCTTATATCCAATCTAAACTTCCCCTGTTTAAGTTTTAACCCGTTCCCTCTTGTCCTATCCTTGCTAAGGAAATGGCTCTGTTAAATAAGCCCATCTTTATACCTCTAGATTAGAGAAAATTAGATCAAATCTGGAGCTGAGCAGGATTTTAGAACAGAAGAGCAGTGGTCAAGTCCCTGGGTATGAGTGTGGCTGAGATGTCCAAAGGAGCCCAGTTTCAGGGGATTCTGTAGGGCAGGAAAGGGGAGCTACACATGTGCTGCTGCAGCTTTAGAAATACCTACTACTGAGAAAACAGGGCATGTCTGACGGGGTGGCAGCACTGGAGACTCCTAGATCTCTCAGCAGACTAGCAAGAGTTATTCCCCCTCCCTGTCACAGGACCAGAGGCCAGAAGTAGAAATCCTGACAACACAGACGCAAAAGGGGAAAAAGCATTCACACAATGTAGGAAAAATGAACTGAGCCAGCTTCTGGTACTACCCATGCTGCCCGGGTTACGGGAGCCAAGACGGGCACTGGCCATTACCAGGTAACAGCCAGCCAACAGCTAATAAATGCCTTGACACTTCCTGGAGAAACATTTCCACGGGGCATTATCATGCAGTGTACTAACAGCCAGTACACCACCACAAAGCCAGGGACAAGTATTACGACAGAGAAGTGTGCACCAAACGTTCAAACCTGAGCTCTAAAATTTCCTTCCCAGTTCTGCACGAGCCCATCCCAAGAAGGAAGGCTCTGAACCTACAATAAGGTACATACAGGCTGCATCAACCCCTGCTGTCACAGCCACGTCCTGCATTGGCACCTCTGGGCTGTTGCACACAGGCATGAAACTGCATTCACAAACCTGCAGTGCCCTTTTGGAGAACTTTTAAAGCAGCAGCTCTTGGGGAAAGGGAAGGAGAGGAGCTATAGCCAAATATCCCCCCCGCCAATCTGCATGCAATCTGCATGGAAGACTGAAGCTTTCAAACATGACAATAAAATCTCACATCGTCTTCAAGGAGAACATGAACTTTAAAGACTTCTCAGAAGTCAGCGAGCAGCTTGTACCTCTTCCAAGCAAAAAAAGGCATGTAGATTGCTGGGAATGCTTCAGGAGTTTCACATACGCACGTGCACACACACGAATAAATAAGTAATTTCTGCCTTTCTCTGCAAACCAAGGCAGAACTTAAGTTTAATGCAACCAAACTTGGGAAGATGAGAGCATGCATAAATATACCTGTGCACGAGACTTGCACATGAATGCCTACAGCAAAACACACAGGTTTGCCAAATACCTGTGCGGGGACAAGTTTAGGTGAAAGCACACACGAGCATGGGAAGGAACTGCATGTGTGATGTGCACTATACCTGGTATTTTTTATGAGTATCTATAAAAAGGTAAGGATAGGTAAGATGCTTTTGAGTCCCTCTGTTCCAGTGTTAAGTGGAAATCCACATCCTGGCAGGAAGACCCTGCTTTTTGGGTCTCTGTCTGCTGTCTTGAACAAACTTCACCAATAACTGAAAGCTGACAACAGCTAAGTCTGGAGGCAACAGTCTCTACCAAAGGGGTGAGGGCAAAGAGGAGAGAAAGGCACTAAACAGCATCTGTAGGCACAGCAGTGTTAGAAGGGATGACAGGTTCTTCATGCCAGCTCTGGGGCAAGAAGTGAGCTCACTGGAGTCCCTAACATGCATCTTCCCTTCCAAGGGACAACTGCTTGCTCCAAAGATAGGAACATGGCCCCTCCAGAAGCAGATCCCTTCACCTTGCCTGTGGCAGTCAGGGTGCTCTGGCCCTTGAAGTGCCCCAGGCCCATGGTGGCTGAGGAGGGGTGGCCAACAGAGGCAGCTTCCCTCCTTCCTTCTGCTCTTTTTTGGCAGGGAAACTCTTAAACAAACAAATGAAGAAACACTGAGGATTTAAGTAAACAGACCAAGATTTATCTGACAGGCTGCTGAGCCTTTCCCTGCCCCCTTCCCACAGGGCACGGTGCTGCCTTGTGCTCTCGCTGGGAAGCCAGCTACCAACATCTGTCCCGAGCCCTTGCTGTCACCAGCAGCCCCTAGGACCCTCCTGTGATCCCAGGCCACAGCCAAACTCTGCCTAAACATCAAAGCTCTACAGCCCAACACGTTAAAGAGGATAAAAAATAGCCATTTGGGCTGTAACCACAGCAAGGCAAAGCCCCTCGCAGGGAGCCACGCTTGCTCATTGGGCTACCAGGCACCAATCCTACAAGTCACGTCTCAGCTGGAGCTTGTTGCACCCATGAGATGGAAGGGAACCAGAGGCAGCACCTCCCAAGGCTGTAACAGCCACCACACAGAGATGGTTCCCCACAGCTAACACATCACCCCCTCTGCAGAGCTAGACAGGACACCCACTGCCAGGGCACCCACTACATCTCTATTTTACAGAGATTAGTAAACTCTGCCTGTGGGTTTGAGTTGGGTTATAAAGGAGGTAAGAAATAGATGCAATAGTGGGATGTTCCAGTTTCAGTTGAAATATCAGGCTGCACTCAGCTCCTTCTGGGGAACAGAAGAGACTGTGAAGCAAGAAGGAACCCAAATCTCACACCCAAAACTTGCTGGCTGCTGCAGTGGAAGCATTGATATTACTGCACAGCAATGCACAGACACAAAACATATGAAGCAAGCAGGCAACAGACATGCAGAGATGAAATCTACTGTTGATACTGTAGGAGGACAGGAAGTAAAGAGTAAGTAAGTCATCTACATAGGAAAGCTGCAGCTATATCACACACAGTCTTTTGTGAATGCATGTATCAGTCGAAGCTGCTTAAGTAAAGCCCATCTGTTCAAAGAGATGGAAAAACGTCCACCCAAGAATTTGCTCAGGTTGAATTAAAAATCACTTAAAGATATTCATCTTAAGGAGATGTTACCCTAGCTCCACACAGATAAAACACCAGTACTAACTTACAGAAACAAGGATAAAGTTGGAAGCAGTCTGCTTCTAAAGTGTTAGCAAGAGGAGAGCATTGGGCATCAGGAGACAGGCATGATGAAACACTGAAAACCCAACAACTGGGATGCTGTACAGAACAGACATGCCAGGCAAAGTGCCCAAGAGGCAGACAAACAGGCTGGCAATGGGACAGGCACAGAAGGAAAAACAGGCAACAAATAAGCCAGTTGTACTTCTAGGTCCTCTCAATCAGCCCTATCCAATCAATCACCTCCCTCAGGAGCCACAGTCCTAAAGAAAAGCAAGTATTTTACCTAAACCAAGAGAAAATACAACGTCAAATCCCACCCCCACCCCCCCTTCAGGTATGTACTTGGAGCCAGCACCACAAACCATCTCTCATCGTTTGTGCAAACAGAGAATTAAAAAAGCAAAATCCTGAAGGGTTAAATCCTGCAGCAGATGCAGAAAAGAAGGGCTTGGTGGGGAAACAGGAGCGTTCCTCCAAGATGCTCCATGTTGGAAGGAGCCCCTGAGCAGTCCTTGCAAAGCATTTGGGGAGGTTTTCAGTCTGAAAGACACTTTACAAAAATAAATTGTAATTGAGTTTAATAATCTTCCCCTTTTCAGAAAGGGCCTGACAGATGCTGCCTAGTGCTCACTTCTGCCCCATTTCAAATATTTTTACCTTATTTGGATGAAATATATTATTTTTCTAATGAAAGGAGGTTGTGGGCTGGTTTTTTTTTCCCAAAGAGCTGGTTTTCCCTCCGTCCAGCTGGTGCCTTTATTAGGTTAGTGCTTGCTCCCTTTCGTGGATGGGATTGTTTTTTTCCCTCAGCTGGGAGAGCCCATGCCAGCCCCTCCATCTACAAGTGCGCAGTTCAGAGCTCCTACTACACAGCAAGTGGAAGAGCTGCATCATCCGTCTTCCTTCGTACCCCAAAATTCACCTTAGGTACATTTCCATTACTTACTTTCACTTTTTGAGAGGATACACAGTGGTAAGACACAGCTTTCCATCAGCATAATAGGTGAACACAGCTCTAAAGGTGCCTACAGAGACTGACTCCTGAGGGAAGCAGCAGGCTGGGATAGGATGGTACAAGGGAAAATGAGGAAAGGGGGAAGTTCTCTCTTGTGCCCTCAGGTAAATGGTTTCTTGTGTTTCACCTCCCAGCATCCCTCTATTTACGTTTTCAATCCCTGAAGGCCAAGTCCCTCTCTTCCTCTGCACTTGCATACCACCCATTGGTATGAGAGCTCAAGTCCATGCAGGAAGACTCTCAGCTCAAGCTTAATGTCAGTTTTTGGTGCACAGGGTCACCACCACATACGGTTTGTGCTTAACATAAACCATCACCACAAAGAAGGGACCTCCCAAAGCTTCCTGATGTCAAAGCCCTTGGGAAAAACATGTACTCCACAACCTGCTGAGTGTGGAAGGTCTAAGTATGCATGGAGACCTTGGCTTCAACACCACAGGTTTACAACAAAAAGCTACTCTGGACCTCCTGCCTAGCCTTTGTTTTGCTCAAGCATCACACTGCCCCATCAAAGGAACAGCAAAGGCAGCCTCCATTTCTGCAGTAGGCACTGCAAATGAAAGCCATGGAGCAGACAGAGACTTTTTTCACAGCTTCCTCCCTGCCCCAGGCAGCATCCCAGCATATACCATGTACATATAGCAGTACACATCAGAACAGACCTAACAAACCCCGACCAGGGTGAGGCAGCCACTGGCAATGCAGCCAGTTCCCCCCACTTTATTGAAGACAAAGTCAAGAGAAAACATAGTTATTAAAAAGCACTTACTTGGCAGAAGCATCCAAGCTGCAAGAAGAAAAGGCCAGATCTAAAATGCTTGTCGCCAGGCCAGGCCAAGATGGCCAAGTGACCAGTGCAGGCTGCTGCAGGAGGGCTGGGGTCCTGCTCCAGGGCACAGCAGTTAATGGGGGTTGGAGTTTTTGTGTGAGCATGAAACCTGGTTCCCAAAGTTGGCTTTGCCTGCAGCTTTTGTCGCATCTTTACATTTACCAGCCAGCATTTTTTACTATCACATGTGGAAATTGAGGCACTCTTACAAGGAAAATACTTTGCAGCAAAGCAGCAAGTTCACATGGGATCCTACAGTCCGTCCTCCTCCTCCTGGTCCCCAACACTGTCAGGTTACACCCTCAACACCCAAATGGCAATGAAAAAACCCTTCCTGCGTCTGATGGTGAAGATGCACATAGGACTTATTTGTCACATCTGGGGGTGAGGAAGGTTGGACAAAGATGATCAGCAGATACGTCTCTTAACCCGTTCCCACTTTGTCACATTTTCTGAGTTCCCCACATTCCTCTTGCAGTTATTGAAAAGGGAGCTTTTATATCCTCAAATTACTGGAAAGCACCAGCCTGTTATTGTTTCCTCTAGGAGGGAGAGCACAGGCTCACAGGGTTTCACTGAAACGTGCTCAAATAACAGTGTTCAGAGGAAGCTCCCTTCACCTGCTTTTTATACCGTACCAAGGATCTATAGGAACCATGTTATGAACCCACTGAACTCACCAACCAGGGTGTTGTTATTCTTCTTCCTGTGTCAAAACAAAGGCTGATTACACAGTAAAACAGAGTATTTGAATACAGCCAGATGGTGGGTGACTGCTGCTGCTGCTGTCTCTCTTGTTCTGCAGATAAAAGGTTTGCTATCTGGTCATCTTTCAGCTAATATGATGCCATTCCCAGTGCCTACTGGCCAATGGGCTAAACATTTCACAGGGCAGCTGATCTAAGTGGGCTTTTTTTCTAGTAAAAAAAACAAAAAGGAGAAGTTAGTTACAAGTTAGCAGTGAGGCTACATGGTTCATAAGGACCAAAACACCCCACAACTGTTGCTATGCTGGAGAGACAAGGAACACGAGACAGAGGAACAAAACTCGTGATGCACAACAATACCTGCTGCTAAGAAGGACTTGGCTTGTTCCAAATTCTCTGCTGGTGGGTTGGATCTCTTCAACAAAGTACACAAACATCCCATCAGCAGCCAGAGGCCCGGAGTTGGAGTTTTTGAGCAACAATGGCTCTGATGGAGTTTTCTGGGATTCATCAGGTTGGGGAAAGGAAAAACAATGACCTATTGAATTGGTAAGGGTTGTAAGAAGCACAACTAAGGGAGGGAAGAGAGCAGCTGAAGAAAACTGCTTTTTACCCTGCACCAGAAATGTGGAGGTAAATGCATTGAACACTGGCAACATGGAGGAAAAGGGGGGAAAAGGGAACCCGCAGGGATGCTTGTACTGTAAACCTCGTAAGTCACTCTGCAAGGCACATACCTCAGCAAAATATTTTCCACATTTCACCAACTGCTGTTGTCCAGGCACTTTCTATTTTCAAAACCTTCTATGTATATAAAATGTACACAGGCAGGACAATACTTTTTCATCACATCCCTGCGTTCAGTCATGTTTTCTTTTCACAAGGATTCTTGGCTTGGAGAAATGAAAAGTGCCATCTCTTAAGGAAAGCCTTTCCTTTTAAACACTTTCAAATTTGCCCTGTTTTAGCTAAACGTGACGTTCTTTGTGAACGTTAAACAGTGGAGAGGGAGACTGAGAGGGAGAGGGACACACACACACACACTCACTCACTCACTCCTGGGGAAGATATTCGTCCATTTAAGGCATGAGAAATCATCACATTCAGCAGCAGGTCTAAATACAGTAATATGAAGGTCCCTTTCGCTCCCCCTGAGCAGGAAAATGTCACTGTGTACCAGACACCCAAATACTCAGGAATCAAGTAAATCCCTCATTTTTAAGAAGGGAGCCAAATACTTACGCTGTACAAAGATGGGACTGCAGTAGCTACGAGTTACTTGCTGCATGCCATTTCTTTCAATGGCTTCTGCACTGACATGGCAGGGTTAGAGCAGTCATGGGATATGGCGCAGCATTCCCTGCTGGTAGATAAGACCAAGGGGCTGTGGGATATCTCACACTCCCTTCAGCACCTCCTGCTGCTGGGGGTGGAAGGAGAGGGATGCTGCATTCTGCACCCTCCAGAGCCTCCTGCTGGGAGGATAGACACTGGAATAGCTGCATGTTACTCACCAGATGATACATCCACCTTGTCCTCTGGAACACCAGAGGCAACCCAGCATTACAGCGTTGGTGCTCTTTATATTGTACCTTATATTGCACTTACTTACACTGTTCTCCACGCTGCCTCCTGCTGATATAACCTAGTATTGGAACAGTCAGAAAATCAACCATAAACATCCTTCAGAAAACATTTTATAAGGCCTGAATTTCTGTGACAGTCCCTTTCCCCTCCCTTTCCCACCCAAAAATAAGAGCCACAGCAATCCAGTAATAGCCTGGTGTTAAATAGTGGTAACTCATATTTATTACAATTATATACAATCATATTTTATATTTGAAATCTATACATGATCACACAGACGAGCACACTTGCTTGGTGAGGACAGTGAGACTCAGTTGTTACAAGAATTGCTCTGCTAAGAGGCTCTGATGCAGTGAATAATATAATTGGACACCACCATTTTACCACCTGAGAACACAATGCTGCAAATGAGAGGTTTCAAAATTCACTGGTTTTATTTGCGTAAAGCCCCAGTGGTGCAAGAAAAGGCTGGACTGGGCAAGAAGGGCCAGTGCTTAACACCTCAGAGCTGGAACTGTCTTCTGTAGAGACTGCTTTGCTGAAGGAGTCACTGGTCATTTAAGATGGGTTTTCTCCTCATTCAGGGAGAAAACCTGGCTAAAAACCATTGCAAAGATTCAGAATTAATCAACTGTTTCAGCATCTGATATCACCTTGTATTAATTCAGGGCTACTAGTCAAAAGTTGATGTGAGCGTCTTGTCTTTGGAGGAGGAAGGGTAATAACTGGGATGAGTGGAGTCAGCTTCTTTTAAACCTTCTTTTACTGGCGAGCAATCAGTAACAAAGCCACTTGTTCTCGTGGATTTTACTGTGGCCATGAAACCTGGGCTTGGTCTCTAGCAAGAGGCCACTTTGATGAGTGGAAGTATGTGGGGTGGAAACAGTGTTCTTTGGACCCCACAGAAATTTAGTGTTTTTAGATACTAGGTAGTTTCAGGAATTTGAGGCTTGACATAAGGCTTGGGAGAGCCAAGACTGAGATCTGGTGAGGAATTCAGGGTTAAAACGTTCTTTTTTTTTGGCAACCGAATATCAAGTAGTTTGAGAAATAAACCAGAGGGTTATTTTGGGAAACAGAGAACTGGTTTGGGCCTTTTGTGGGGATTAAAGGCTGGTGAAATCAAAAAGCTCAGGACAGACTGGTTTCTGAAATTGGAGAGGACTAGGAGGCAGCAAAGAGGCTGGCTGCTTTGGGAGAGATGGTGTTTATGTAAGAGAACTGACTCTCTAGCTGTGGTGCATGGTAAGGCGATTGGTCTTCCAGCCTAGGCAATGCCCCCAGCTCATGGGCAGAAGGTCTGGGAGGGGAGAAGAAGCCACTGCAACGCTGCAAAGCCCTGTGGTGAAACAGGGCCCACCTTGTTCACTGGGCAATCATGACCCTGCTCAAGGTCAGTCATGGAAGGATCATGGGAGAGGATGGTGGCACTTCTCTCCTCAAAATGGGAGAGGCACCGGGGACAGTGCGGGAGCCTAGGGAAGATGTACAGCAGCAGCAGCAGCAGAAGCCAGGGTGTCTTAGTCAATCTCATTCTCATTGCTGGCCCCCTCAGGTCTTCGTAGCTTTTCTACTTGCTCATTAATCTGACCATCCCCTCCTCGCCGGTCCTCCGTCTGGACACCCAGACATTCCTCCTCATCCACATGGCTAACATCATCATCCTCATCGTCCTCTTCCTCCTCTTCATTCCTTTTGGTTTCCCTTTTCTCCTCCTCCCCCTGCACCTCCATCCGCACTTGGCTCTTGACGTCAATCACTGCCTTGTTGCCCTCCTCCGTGCTCAGGAGATGGCAGCTGACCTTTGAGCCCTCAGGGCTGTGGTTCTCCTTGACTGGTGATGAGGTGGTAGACTCGTTGCTGACAGGGGAGATGTCACTGCTGCTGTTATGGTTGGCAACAACAGGGTTGGAGGGTGAGCTTGGCTTCACTGGGATCTGCCATGACGGGATCTTAGGAGCCGAAGGGGAGGGAGGGAACTGCCTCCTTGGGGGAGGGAAGAGGGGAAGAAAAGGAGAGAAAGGGGTTTTTATTACAAACACTGAGGGGTTATCATTCAAGAGAACGGTATTTGCGCTGCAGAAACCATGTAAAGCAGGGCTAAGACTGCAAGTCTCCATTGACATAAATGAACAAACCCAAGGCCACTTCACTTCTTCAGCCAGAATCTCAAAGTGCTTTACAAGCACCCAGTAATCGAGCCTGCACCCACAGAAAATATCACAGCTGGGCAATCTGAAGTACCAAAATGATCTGGTTTGGCCAGTGGCACACAGTAAGCTGGCACTTAGGAATGCTGCCTGTGGGAAGACATGGGTGTCCCTTTATAAAACAATCGCTAATTAATTGGTAAAGAAAATTCCCACTGGAGCAAGAAGTCAGACACACCAGGTCCTTGTGCCCGAGCCAAGGAATTTCACCATCTGGCTCTCACCTCCACTGTGATACTCAGCTATTGCACTGTGGCGCAGTGCAATCCAGAGCCTATCTTCTAGTCCCAGCATGCACTTCACATGTTTGGGCCAGGTCCTGGTGCCACAAACTGGTTCAGCTTCTCTGACTTGAATGGAGTCATATTAGCTCGTACCAGCTGAGAAAGCTGGCTGTTTTGTTCTTGAGTCATTTCCAAGTGGGCTTTAAGGATTTGACAGTGGCAGGCTAAAGCCCAACCCTAGAGAACCCAAGTACCAGACAGGACAAATGGAAGGGCAGTGGGAAGCACTGGTGTCCTCAGAAAGTCATCCACCATGAAAAGCA